AACGGGCCACGAAGCTGATTTTCTTTAAAACAGGAAGGAATTGAGCCACTGAAGTTGTTGTAAGAGAGATCGAGCAGTTGTAAAGGTACAGTAGGTACACCTTCAAGCATGCTATTCTTGCTGAGATCACAAAAGGACGGTGGGATTCTCCCAGATAACTTGTTTCCAGAGGCCTTGAAGATGGTAACTTCACGAAGATGAGAACTAAAATTGGAAGGTATCGATGAGAAGTTGTTGTTTGAGTAATCGAGCACCCCTGTAGGGCCTCATGGAATAGGTATGGGCCCTTCAAACATGTTATTGCTGATATCAAGTTTCCGTGAATGTACAGGGAGAAAAGGAGCATAACCAACACTAGTAAGTTTATTGTTTGCTAGGATCATAACTGAAGGAATATTTAGAAAAGACTCCCATGCCCACTGTGGTACAGCCCCATGGATTTGGTTATCTGAAAGGTCAAGCCAGGTTATTTGATCTTGGTGCCTCAGGAAACTCAGGTACTTATTTATGTTACGATGTGATAAAGATAAGTAATTGAGTTTGGGCAAGGATGCTAGTGAAGAATTGTCTGCTCCATCTACCAGAACTAGATCATTATCAGAGAGATCCAAGATAGAAAGGTGTGTCAGTTTTCTAAAAAAAGGTAAACTCCATCTTCCCGATGAAATTGTTTGAATATAGCAATATTATTTGCAGGTGCACTAACTCAGAGATATATGAAGGTATTTCTCAGGAAAGCTACAGTTACACAGTGCCAATTTCTGCAATTTTGTCAAATTGCCAACAAAAGATGGTATCGATCCAGATAAGCCACAATCAGAAAATTGGAGAATCGTTAGAGCTGTCAGGTTAGCAATCCATGATGGCATGGACCCTTCTACAACCGTTCCAGAAATCTCCAATTCAGACAAGTATTTGAGCATACCAATTGATGAGGGAAGTTTACCGGAAAAGCCTGTTGCACTAAGTCCTAGCCTCCTCAAAGCTGTGAGATTACTAATTGAAGTTGGTATTGTGCCAGAGAAATCGGTTTCACCAACATCCAGATTCTCCAAACAAGTACTAGCTACGAAATTTGGCAGGTAACCAGAAATTTCATGATTGTTGTAAAGATCAATGGTCACTAGTTTCTTGTGTTGAAAGATTGCCGGTGAGATCCATCCTTGAAGCTTATTATCGCTCAGTTGAAGAACACTCAAATTGGAGAAATTGGTTGAGAAATCTGGGATTGGACCAAACAAATCATTTAACCGTAGGTCAGTGACAGCAAGTAATGAAGTGAAGCACAAATCGGTCCTGAAATCTGAGAGTACCGTAACCTAAGCACTCGGAGTTTAGGACAGGATTTGGTTATGATGTTGCACCAATTTGCCTCGTTGTTGGACAGGTCCATAAAGCCAAGATTCAGCTCCCTTAAATTGCTAAGCTTTGCAATTAACTTGTCAAGTTTTTTGCTCACGAGCCTTGTAAAGAATGAAATTGAGTGTACGTAAATCCAAGGAACATAACGAAGTAGCTCAGTAACTTCAAAACCAGTAGAGAGGTCAAGCGATATGAGATTTGTCAGGTGTCCAATGCCATTTGGCACCTGGCCAGAAAAGCTTGAACTTGAAAGGTTCAGATGGGTGAGTTCTGTGAGCCGCTCAAACCCAGTAGGTGGGAGCTGTGACCCGTTGAAGTTGTTAGAGGCGAGGTTTAGGTACTTGAGGGAGGTCAGATCAAAAAGCGTGGGATCCAGGCCTCCACTTTCCAAACCGCGGTCACCCAAATCGAGGGAAGTCACGAGGCCATTGTTGCAGTCGCAGCGCACGCCCATCCAATGGCAGCAGTCCGTGCCAGCCCTCCATGATCTGAAGGCAATGACAGAGTAGCTGGTGGTGGTGAAGGATCGTTTCAACCGGAGGAGCGCCATTGCTTGGGGGGCAAGCATGGAACTGACAGCAGACCGGCGGTGTGGTTGTTGATGTCACCACTAGCCCATGGAGGCACAAGTAAGCACATGATGACTGTGAGCTGGAACTGTAAGAGCAGATGCAACACTAAACGCCATGGCCCCTGGTGCCTCATGATGGTGGACATACTGGCAGCTTAGGATGGCTATGAGGTTATCCTGATTTTGATCTGGGGATATCCTTGCCCTACCTTGGTTTATACACTTCTAGCTCTGGTCTGCTGATCATGGCATACAGCAACAGCATGCCGAGTCAATCGAACGCGCTACTATCAAGGACCGGGACCACACACACTGCAGCCTGCAGGTCGACCAATCCTTTCCTGTTATAATTCAAGCCGATCAACCTCTTATGTGTTCCAATCAAAGTAAATATGGATATTTGACCAATCATGGCAGCGGGTTTATGGATGAATGATGAATCATGCTGAGTTGATGGAACGTGCAGTTATTATGGACCACACACAGCAACCTGCAGGTTCACCAATCGATTTCCCGGTTACGAGTCAAGCCCATCAACCTCATGTTCGGATGTTCCAAAATCAAAGTAATTCCGGTACTTAAAATCTTCTATAGAGAGAACTGCATTGACGAATCAGCGGTCTTTGGCTGGATCTTTGACCATGATCCTGTACTTTGCAAATGGATGGATATAAGGTGACGTTCAATTCGGTGGACATCCAGGGTCAGGAGGGGTCCATCATCTTTGAGCCGGTGTTGGGTTGTTGTCTTGTTGAAGGGGGGACGGGCCATCCCCAAGGCGAATATTCGTCTGGAATGCGGGACGGGCTTGTCTGCCAAAATCAGGCGAACAAGCCTGTCCCCTTGTCACGCCGTCAACGCCTCCGTGCACACGCGGGTGGAGCAGCAACTACAGCAGTCCAGGCACACCCTTGAGCTCCGGCAAAGGCAGCCACCTGCGAGCTCGTCATCCAGCTCTGGCGAGGGTGGAACAGGCAAGCTCGTCCTCGAGATTCAACAGGCACGCGCACCCACTTGCTGCAGTGGCGAGGGTGCCTTCACACTAATCCATCCCAATCCATATGGGTTGGGAGGTATTAGGGTAGATAATAATTAGCTAATTTTCCATCTCAATACCTACCAGCCCAACCCATATGGATTGGGGTGGATTGTTGTGCTACCAAATAAGCCTCAGGTAGCTTGTAAGTCACAAACAGGCAATAATAGCACGTGACAAGTTCATAAGATAAGAACATTAGTCAAAAGTTACGAACAGCACATGACAGCTCACTAGTTTCTTATTATAAGAACATTATAGGTTGTACTTGCTTTTAATAAGCAGAGAAACCTCCTTAAAAAAAGAACATTATAGTTTGCTGCAATCCAGAGCAAAGCAAAATATTAATCGTAGCATACAAACATAGAAAGCAATCTGCAATTTTGATGGATAAATAATCAGATATAAGTGGGTAGTGGTAATCCGGCTTTGGTCTACACTCCAAAGAATCAAAACTACTCCTGCAAGCATTGCACATGAGCACATCTATATCAGAAATAACAATCTGCTATTAAATCCATAATTAAATGTTAAAGTTCTATTGCCAAAGAGGTCAATTATAAAACTACATTTGGTAATTGTAAATAAAGAAAATGTATTCTAGGACCGGAGTACTTGCAAACTTGCTTGATTAGTTGATTTCTCCCAAATTGGCGATGCAGCCCTGTAGCTGTGGGAGTGGACTGACTGGCGCACGCACCCTGCAAAGCGCCCCAGCCGGCAGCCGCACAGGTCAGCGCCTTGCAGCTGCCCATGCGTCCCCGCGTCGCCCGTCGCGGCGCTGAGCCCGGCCAGCTACCGCCTCGCCCCCGCCAGGCTGTGCGCTCGTGCCGCGTGGACGCGCCCTGCCTGCCTGCCGCATGCCGATTGCTCCGCCGCGGTACGCCGCCCCGCCTGCTGCTGCTCTGCCTCTGCGAGGTTGCTGGCACGCGGCCACATAGCCGCGCCGCCGCGAGCCCGCCACTCCGCCTTGGTCCGTGCTGCTCGCCGCGCCGTCGCTGCTCGGCGATTACTCCGTGGACTCGATTTGGGCATTTGGCCGGTTAGGAGAATTGTGGCCTTGCTAGGCCTTATTGGGCCAAATGAAGGCCTTTTATTTCGCTTCATAAGGCCTAGTACTCCAGACACGCTAAGCCCACTGATTCACAGGGAACGGAAGTTGCCCTCGACCTCGATCAAAACTGAGGCATATGTATTCTCCTGAAGTCCTGATCCCCTTTTCCGCTCCGATCTCTTACCCACAGTTACTCCTCCGTATATCCTCCACTGGATCAGACTGCTCTGCGTCCCATTATTGTCACGAAGAAAACACCTCGTACTAAATGCTTCTTTTCCACTGGATCAGACAGCTCTGCTTCCAGGTTCTTTTTATGAAATTGCTTCCAGATTTATTTTTTTCCCAAATTGGTGTTTCTGCTGCCTGATTTCTCGATCAGTCTCAAGCGACCAGAGGCTCCGTGAAGCAGTTTGGTGTTAGACTGGGTTGAGGATCACCACGTGGTGTGTTGGCACCTCCTCCATCATGAGCAGCTAAGCTAAGGTGCGAGCACACTGACTGAGTAGGAGTTCAGGTTCGAACAGACAGTTTCCTCGTCGACCTTAGTTGTGGGACTCAATACTAATTTGCTATGTTTAGAGCACCGGATTCAGATTGCTCAAACTTGATTAAGATTGCTAGGGCCAAGTTTAGCTATAATAAATCCTTACGTACTCCATGCGCTCAGGACTTCAGGTTTCTGCTCAAGTCGAGTGTATGTCTGAAGTCGGTACAAGAGAGAACTGAAACCAATAAAATAATCTCACTTCTTTTCACTTGAAGTTAACACAACCACCTTCGGGATCCCATATGAAACATAATGAAATTATAAAACCTAGCCGAGTGAAATTAAGCTGTGTCATCTAACCCATATGGTGATCCATCTTTTATGAAAAATAATAACAGGCATATATTATTTTTAAGAGAATGCAAAATTCTAGCCTCTGCAGCCACAAACACCCTAGTCTTACACCAGGCATATATTATGTACCGTATTATGTACGGGTTCCATAGAGCTTGCAAGCCCATCCTTCTATGTGGCAAAAGCGATTGAACATCACTGCCAATGCAAAACCTACTCCGAACCCCAGACCAACAAATGTGAACAAAAGGATGGTGTCCACTCTGTCCTGCCACAAACTGTTGGATTCATGATGATCTGATGCTCTTTGAGTAGCTGAACCTGAACCTGAATTATCACATTGTTTAGAGACTTGACTTCCACAGAGGCCAAGATTGCCTTCGAAAGAGCTGTTGGGAAATGACAAAAATTGGTTGCCCTGTGGTATTCTACCGGTCAAGTTGTTGTATGAAAGATTCAACCAAGCAAGAGAAGTAAGGGAGGTTAACTCCTCTGGGATTTCCCCTGAAAAATGATTCCATGATAGATCCAACGATTCCAGCCAAGGAAGATTACCAAGCTGTGATGGAATCTGCTCTGTGAAATTATTGTGAGACATGTTAATTCCGTGCAGTGAAGAAAGCCTCCCAATCGATGCTGGTATGGGGCCATCGAATGAATTATTTGAGAAGTCAATGGCTTTGAAAGTTGTTAGTATTTTTGTGAAAATAATATCCAAGCCCTTAAATGTTATAGTGACAGTATCCCGATAGAATCCTTGTGACGTGTTCATTTGATGCCCTACAACTTGTCCCTCTTCATTATCATTTGACATCATCGATTTCAGTTCATTGAACCATCCTTGTGGCAGGTGCCCAGAGAAGTTGTTGGAGGCCAAACAAAGTATCTGCAAACTTGAGAAATAGCCCATGATTTGTTCATTCTCCTGAAGATCTGTAATCATGCCAAATAATCGGTTGGATCTCAAAACCAGAACTTTAAGTTTTGGAAGAACCCCCATCCAAGATGGAAATAAATCGGCGATCTGATTGTTACCAACATCAAGTAGCTCTAATTCCTGGCAGTTGGTCAGAGATCTTGGCAGTTTTCCAGTTATGTAATTTCTGCTCAAATCTATTGTCTGAAGCATACATCCTGCTCTGATATTGTCAGGTAGTTCTCCGTGAACAAGATTCCCTCTTAACTTAAGTACTCTCAAGCTATTTTGTGTTAAGCATGGTGGGATCATTCCGCTAAAGTAGTTGTAAGATAAGTCAAGGAATTCAAGGTCTCTTGCACTACAAACTGAAGTTGGTATATGACCATTCAGTAGGTTATTCGAAAAGTCGAGATATGTTATATCTTTGAGATACTCGCCAAAGTTAGGTGGAACGGCATTGAAGTAATTATTTGAGTAATGCAAGATAGCACTCGGTTTCAGACTCATCAGTTCACATCCTACTTTTACTGTTGGTGTTGGTATGATTCCTTGAAGTCTATTGAAACTGAGATCAATGATATATTGAGATGCCATAGGAATAAGAGATGGAGTATTCTCCAGGCTAGTAAACATGTTGTGCGAGAGATTTAGATAGCTCATGCAGCCAGTCCGGGTCTCCCACAGCCAGCCTGGTATTGCCCCATGAATATGATTGTTTGAGAGGTCAAGTGTCTCAACGCCATCTAGAAATCTCAACGTTCGTGGAAGTTTTCCAAGGTTGCAAGATGCTAGCTCCAAAATCTTGATGTGAGGTAATGAAGAAAGGAGAGGATCATCTTCTTCATCTATCACTGTCAGCATGTTGTTAGAGAGACTCAATGCATAAAGATTCTTGAGCCTCCAGAAAGATCTTAGGTTCACTGTGCCCGTCAATCTATTTGAGCCAAGGTAAAATGCTTCAAGACTTGGAAGCTGAGTGTAAGACTGAGGCATAGATCCCCCAATGTTGTTATCTACCAAATTTACGTTAGACAAGAGTGAAGACAAAGGGTTATCAATGGCATCTAAATGGCCAGAAAGTTGATTTGATAAGAGAGAAAGCGATTGCAAATTTGGAAGTGTGAACAAGCTTCTCGGAATTTTGCCTGCATGTAAAGGTACAATGCCAGTCAACAAATTACTGTGATTAATTGTAACATAGAATGCTAGTATAGTAAAGCATAATGTGCATGTACAAAATAGCCACCACAACTAATCATGTGGTTAGTGGTAACATTACATGAATATTTATTTACTTTCAAATGTTGATATTCCTCCTGAAACCAGTTTCGAGGACAATTGCCCTTCTTTTTATCCGAACAAAAGTGGACTCCTCATCATTTCATTATACGTCCTCCATCCCAAAATATAAAGATTTCTATGTTTATCCTAAGTCAAACTATCGTAAATTTGATCAAATTTATATAGAAAGATATTAACATCTATGACATCAAAGATGTAAGCTACGAAAAATATAGTTCATTTAAATTCTAATGGTGCTCATTTGAATTCTAAATAATTGTTGTTTTTCTCTAGACTTGGTCAAACTTAAAATAATAAACTTACGGCAAACTTTTAAATTCTTATATTTTGGGTTAGAGGGAGGAATAAGCAAGCCATATGTATTATTCTTCCCTTCGGCAATACTTATCCACATGAACACAATTACGTTAAAAAAATCCACATGAACACAAGTAGTGAGTTAGGGGGTGTGAGTTTACTCTCTCCATCTCAGAAAAGTGCACACCTAGTTTTTTAGGAGCCAAGATGTGCGCTCTTTTCGAAAAGGAGGGAGTATATAGTAAGTACAAGGAACGGAACACGAGAGAGGGAATGGCTTTAAAGTTTGTAAGACATGGTTGTACTATATTTCAATACTGATAACGAAGAAATAATGGTGCTGGAAAATTCTTCATGGAGCTCACCAGTGAGGTAATTTCCGGTGAAGTCTATGCTTGAAAGCTGCGTCAAGTTACCAATCCAGGGGGGTATCGGTCCATATAAGCTGCACATGCTGAGCCTCAGTGACATCAATTCTGTAAGATTGCCGATCCAGGATGGTATTGGTTCAGAGAAGTTGTAGTTGTCAATCAACAAACTTGTCAAATGTGTGAGATCCCCAATCCAAGAGAACTGCGGCTTCTGTAATCCTGATGATGATCCCTGGAGCACTAACGTGCCCAAAGATGGAAGCTTACCTACAAAGGGAAGGTGCTTGGAAGTCCCTTCTGTGGTAAGAGTCAAATAACTCAAAGACTTGAGATTGACAATGGACGCCGGCAAGCCATCAGAAAAGTTTGTGTCCTTCAGGTCAAGCATTTCTAATCTATTTTCCGCTGGAAAGCTTACCAGATGCCCAGAAAGCCTTGAATTCCCGGACACCAAAAGGACCTTCAGATTTTTCAGTCGAAAGACCTTTGCCGGAAACTGCCCTTCAAAGTCATTGTCTCTCAGGTCAAGGGTGCTCAAGGAAGAGAAGCCAGCAAAAAACTCAGGAACCTTGCCAGCGATTCTGTTGTTAGGGAGGCTGATCTCGACCAGCGAACGGAGCCGTGAGAAGGAGCGATGGATGGGTCCAGACAGGCCACAGGAGGACAGAGGCAGAATCTGCAGGTCCGGTGTGGAGCTTGCTAGAGCAACGGACCACGTCTCTCTGCCGCCGATGGAGATGTCCACTCCATGAAGGCGAAGCTCTCTTAGATTGCCGAGATTAGCGACCAATGTTTCAAAGCTTGGCTCCTTGAGGACCAGCCTGCTGCTGCTGGGGCCCCCGGACCCGGCGGAGAGATGGACCAGCTTGCTGAGCCGCGCTACGCCGATGGGGATCTGGCCGCTGAAATTTGTGTCGGCTATGTCGAGGTGGACCATCTCGCTGAGCAGCTCGAACCCAGTGGACGGCAGGCTCTCCCCCATGAAGTCGTTGCCCCGGAGGCTGAGGTTCCTCAGAGAGGTGAGGTCGAAGAGCGCGGGGTGAAGGCCCCGGCGGCTCCGCAGGTTCCGGCCTCCTAGATCCAACGCGATCACCCGCCCTGAGCCTGAGGTCGCGTCACAGGCGACGGCTTCCCAAAGGCAGCAGTCCGTCTTGGCTCGCCATGACGTGAGGTCCTTGGGGTCGACGAAGGATTGCTTTAGCTGGAGCAGCGCGGCAGCGTCGGGCGGAGAGCATGATGATGACCCGGCGCCGGCAGTGTTGCTGCTGCTGGAAATGCGTGTTTAGTGTAAACAGAAGCTGTAATCAATCACGTATGTAATTATGTACACATTAGCATGTTACTATATACGTTAGGCAAACTGTACTCCGTTCCAAATTATAAGATTTGGATTTTTTTACATACATAGATTTTATTATACACTTAAATATATATCCAACGTTGGTCCTAGGATTTTAAAGGCCCTCTGACGAACTCGTCACGACGGGCCCTCTAAACCATGTATAAAATCTTATAATATACTTATATGCATAAATCTTATAGGCATAAATTTTACTTGCAAAGCGAAAGCAAATTCAATAATATATTTTTGATTTAACCAGTCTGATAATTATCTTTTTTGTTTTCTTTTCTCAGCCCCTGACAAATGTTTCTTAGGTAATATTCTAAAATTCTAACATCTAAATTAAAGGAAAAACATGACTATATGAATATAAAGTACTAGAAGTCTGGAATACTATACAAATAATTAATTTAGATTAAAAAAGAACAAGGAAAAAATACCTAGGGTCTGGACATGAACAAGAACAACCGATCGGCGATCGCAATTCGCAAGAAGGCAACAACCAAGATGTCGTCGACGTGGAGCCCTACCTGGTCGCCGCCGTCGTGCGCCGTTCTCCAGCAAACGGCAGTCTAGCTCTCCGTGCCGCGTGTGTCTGTGAGTGCGTCGGGCGTCGCCGCATCGGCGCGACTGGAACTCACGAGTCGCGATCGTGATCAGACTGCGGCGCCCTCACCACCTCTCTGCCCGAGGGCAACGGTGAAAACTGGGAAAGAATGACAGAGAGGCTGACGTTGTCTTCTTGGGCCGACTCTTCTCATTAGTTTGCTAATATCTAATGAACTATAGGGGTCTCAGGGTTTGTATATCTGGACTTGGGTCCCTCCCCTGCCTGGGCCCTCGGCCGTTGCACCCCATGCCTACCCCCTAGGGCTGGCACTGTTTAGATCCACCAACTAAATTATAGGCATGTTTAGATCACCAACTAAATTTTCGCGAGCTAAATTTAAGTGCTAGGGATCAAAACGGCTCAACTAAAAGACCAACTCAAGTTTAGCTAAGTTTAATTACTTTAACCCAGCTAAATCCAACTAAAATTTAGCTGAGTCTAAGCTGGAGGATCCGAACATCCTAGATAAAATTTAGCTTAGAGAACATTTATCTGGCTAAAGTTTAACTTTGAAATTTTAGCTAGCTAAACTTTAGTTAGGTGGATCCAAACAACCCTGTATCTAGATACATGCAAAAAAAAAAAGTCCAAACGTCTTGTAAATTAAAACAGAGTGAGTAACAATCAATGTCGGATTGAGACTTGTCTTGTAATGCCACGTAAATTAAACGGCTGCTCCTATGGACTCTATAGAATATAATTACACGGACAGACGACTCTCCAAAAAATAACTGTCAAGGAGACGAGAACACTTACATATTTTCAGTGCGGACGATGATGCAGAAGTATAAGAGGAGGTGCAGGAATACGTGGAGCTTTGAGTGCCTGGAACTCATCTCATCTACTGCTGGTTTGCCGGCTCTCACTTTCATACGATGGCGTTCGATTTTTGGCTACTTATATATATAGCAGCAGAGCTAGAGGCCGGAACATTTTCTTTTTCGAAAAAAAATATATGGTTTACGTGCAGCATATCACAGATTCACAATGCATGGCGTGCATAGAATGGCACTTCGCGTGTGCGACCATCCTCGCGTGTGCGACCTTCCTGATGATGCTCCCTACTTTTCAGCGTATGACAGATTCACAGTGCTGTCGTCAGTTCATGGCGTGGCGTAGGCGTACGTAGAATGGAACTGTGCGTGTGCGACCATCCTGTGCGTGATGCTTTCTTACCCGTGCGACACGGTAAGTCGCTGCCTAACAATGCGCGGCAGTATATAGGACCGTTTAGGGCATGTTTGATTTCTTCCTCTAAACTTTAGATGTCTAATAAAATTTAGAGCTAATTAAAGCTCTAAACAAGCAGTCTAAAATTAGCTCTAAACTTTAGCACACCTCACATCAGAGCTTTGAGCTTAAAAATGAGCTAAAGTGCTCTAAAGCTTTCAGCGCTCTAAAGTTTAGAGGAGATGATCCAAACATGCACTCAGTCATACTTTGATGAGTACTTTCACTTCCTATCAAAAAATAATAATTTTTAACACTAAATTAATAGGAGGCTCTAAAGTTTCTGCCTTTTAACAGCAGAAACAATTTTCAGAAATCAAACCAAACACAACCAAAATATTCACTACAACTTCTTCCTCGAAGAAAGCTAAAGACATGCATTTCTTTATCTAAAAACATAATAAAATAAAATCAAGACAAACCACACAATGGAATCACTCATATATTATCCAGACATTTGCGAAGTACTGCTCCTCCGTCCCCACCACCCCAACAACAAAAAATCTAACTTTATGAGAAATCAAACCATTGTATCCTTAGGTTTAACCAAATATATATATAGAAAAAACTACTAATATTTAAGCAAAAGGTATCACTAAATTAATTATGTAACATATTTTCATGATTAACATATTTAAATATATAAATGTTAATATAATTTTCTATGAACATAGTTTTAAAATAAAAATTATTTAACTTAGTTTTAAAATAAAAATTATTTAACTCTTTGAGAAACGAGATTTATATTATTATTTTTTGGAGAGGGAGTGAGAGTACTCATCAAAGTACCACTAGAGCCTGTTTTTATCCTCTCTTCTAAACTTTAGAGCACTGAAAGCTTTAGAGCAATTTAGCTCACTTTTGAGCTCTACAGTGCAACTCCAAGAGACTTGGTAAAATTAGATGCCAAATTATAAGATTTAGCCATTATATAAAATAGAAAACCCATCTAAAATAGAAAGTTTTAGAACAGCCTAGTTAAATTGAAAAACAAAGATAGCAAGCAGGGCTCGCTAGAAAAATATGGCCAGCGAGAATGGTGGGATAGCCAGTTAGAAAAAATAGAAAACAATATAGACAAGCTGTTGAAATGCTTTTTTAGAGCACAATAGCTATAAATGGCTTCACGAATACATTTAACCAGTCTGTTGGAGTTGCACTAAAACTCTGAGGTGAGGTGAGCTAAAGTTTAGAGCTAATTTTAGACCACTTGTTTAGAGCCTTATAATTAGCTCTAAATTTTAGAGGAGGAAATCAAACAGACCCTAAACGGTCCTATATACTGCCGCGCATCGTTAGGTACCGACTTACCGTGTCGCACGGGTAAGAAAGCATCACGCACAGGATGGTCGCATACGCACACTTCCATCGTTAGGTTCCGACACGGTTTTCTCTTAGATTTTTCTGCCATCCAACGGATATGTTTGGTACAGCTTATAAACTATTTATGACCAAAATAAACTGAAATCAACAGCCAAACGTTACATTTTTCAGTAGCTTATTCTAGTCACACTTATTTCCATAGCTTTCATTTATACTAAAAAGCAGAAGTTAGATCTACCAGCTTATTTTGACTACCACTTTTACTCTGTTCGTGCAGTTTATCTGAAAAGCTGTGAATCTGACCGGATATCACTGATATTATATTTGTTTTCATATTTCTGATCGGATTCGGATGCGGATAGTGTCAATCATGCCGGATAGAGTACGATTGGATATCGACATTATAAATATACGATTTGAGTATTCGGATACGGATACGGTATCGGATGTTAAATATTCGGACTCGAATACGGACGGATCAAAACCCCTCTAAACGGATTCGTATCCGTACCATTTTCACACCTACCAAACAGGGCCGACACCAGTCGTCAGCCTCGCACATATTATAAACACAAAAGGCAACATATAGATCTACCTGTAGCTGGCCTTTGGGTGGACTTGTTGCAGGGAGAGTCGAGCAACTACGGAGTACGTGGCCTAGACAGTCTGCAGGGCCGTCTTAGAGGGGAGAGCAGCCGGTGCGACGGCCAGGACCCATGCCACGAGGGGCCCATGAGTACATCTATGTATATAGTATTTTTTTTAATGAAATGGAAATTTAAATGTCCATACACTTAGCACAAGTCTAAAATTAAGGAATTAGCTTGTCATCACTTCCTATTCTGATATTTAGCTATTCTCGATTGCCAACCGATCCTGATCAAGCAATCATTTCGCCTCCCAATTGCCTAGACCAATTGCCAAACACAGTTTCTAGTTCGTTTGTTTTTTATATATAAAGAGTTTCTAGTTATCTTCGCTAGGTTTGACAAGCGTGTTACCTCTATGGAGGGTAAACGCCGACGCATATGGCCGTATCGGCGGCACACCAACAAGCCAACCAAAGTCCAATCCAAACTCCAAAGAGACGACACAATGACGCACAGTCGTCAGACTGCATGTGGACCAGTATTCTTCCTAGCCCTAGGAGAGCTCCTCTTGCAGTTGCAGGACAGAATGGCAGATAGCTCGAACCATGCTATTGCTATTTCCCCGGACTGCCTATTTCATGATAGGTCCAAACACATGCAGCGATGCAAATGCTGTTGGTACAGTCCACGCGCTCGTGCTCAGAATCAGCGAAAACAGGCATGTTGACGTTGAGTTTACCCACGGCACCGAGTTCTGAAAATGGTGTCCCAATGGGGGAATACAACCAAGCTGCCGGCATCGCTGTTGGTGTGTTGGAACCCACATGGATCCAATAACACAACTTTATACGGCTACAGGGACAGCTGTGTTTACCTGAACAACAGTTTAACATGAACTACATGCATAGGTGGCCTGCCCCTGCAGCACCGCTGGACCCCAACAGTTCCAAGTAGCATCAAGCTTGGGCCATCTGCACATGATCATCAAGGAGTCAGAATTCGGTAGAGCCGCAGATTCCATTGGTTGTTTCTTACTTCTCAAAAGCAGTTTGATTCTGCTTCCCGCATACTCTGTTTTTCAAAAGTAGGTTCAAATGAATGCTTTTCCCTATGCCATGGCATAATTACCTTTGGAAATCATAATCTTTGGTGAATAAGCCAGCGGGTTTATGAAAACTTCTGATTTCAGGTTCTTTTAGTAACCAATCAGTTGCGTAAGGGGCTACAGAACTGGATTCTACATGTGAAAGGACAAGAGGGCATATCTAAAAGATTCATGGACTAGAGCTATACCAGTTTCGCAGCATTTCTGTTCTTCAGTGTCAAAACTGCTGCTTCAGCGAAGGCCTGTGCAGCTCGGGCCTCTGCTTCTGCAGCCTCTGCTTCCCTAGCAGCTGCTTCCGCTTCTGCCATGATAGCCTCTGCCTCTGCAACTGCATGAGCAGCGGCAGCCGCAGCTGCCTCAGCAGTCATAGTTGCCATACGAACCAATTCAGCATCAACTTGGGATCTCGTGAGGGTTCTACTAGCATCACTCCCTAATTTCAAGGGTTCTCCTTGCACGTCTTCCAGCAGCACCATCTTGGGGATTCGGCCCTCTAAGCGTGGTGAACTAGGTGCTATCCTGTACTTCCGATTCACCTGCAAACTTCCACTGGTCATGCTGAAAAGCTCAAGGTTCTTCAATTTGAGAACATGCAACTTCTGATTGGATCAAAATATGAACATTCAGCAATGAGAGATGGCTCATTGGCTCATGGACACCATAAAGCCCACAAATCGAGTAGTGCTGAAAATAGCATTTAAAGTAAGATCAGCCGGAAACCTGCAGTCTAACAAGGATTCTACATGAAATTAAACAAGAAATCATTATGTAATAGACTAACAGTGGAGTATTGTGCATCACTAAACAAGAAATCAGTGCTTGCTAATACTGATAAACATGTTTGGCACTGTAATACTAGACAGATAGTAGAGTATGGTGCATGACTGAACAAGTCTATGCGTGTGCACCTTCTCAGAGCACATGCTTTATGGCCAAACACATGTGTCATGATAAACCTTCATATACTTGTTGTATTCACAAATATGGCATATGAGTTGTTCCAGTTGGATGAAAACTAGGCTTCTGATGGCGTTATGCACAGATTTTACTTATCTAGGACTACTTCATTAGATGATATCATGAGAATGCACTAGTGTGGTGGTTGGCCAGTGGCCACCCAGTTGTGGTGCCATAGGACCAGGGTTTGAACCCTGGTTTTCACAAAAGGTCCCTCACTGTGTAACTGCTTTCAGAGATATACACAGTTGCATCCTGGGCAGTCAGCCTTCATGGCCTTCTTGACCATGTGATTACGGTTTCTCCTTAATGCAGTGCCTTGGGGGAGACCTTTCCCCCAAGAAGAGGTTTTTTTGGTGATAACATTAATTGAATTTACTCACGTGGTATCACCTAGTAGTTTCATCTTTGAATTAACTTTATTTCTCATAGCATAAAATGATGTAGAGAGCTACAAAAATCATATTTACCTTTAACAATTTCCCACTGGTAGCTAAATCCTTCAGTTTTGCAGACAATAAGTGATCAAAATCACTAGGTGGCCAATATTGCTCCTACATAAAACCAGGGTAAGAACCTGATTGTGCACATAGCAAATAAGACGACCATGACCCAGTTGGCCAAGAATTTT